CATGTTTTGAAATGCAGCATAGTAAATTTTCACAAAATGAACTTTACACCTTTATAAGAAATAGAACATAAAGGCTGGGGGTGTAGCTCAGTGGTAGAGCACTTGCCCATCATGCACAGGCACTGAGTTTAATCCCTAGCACTGCCAAAAAACCAAAATATTGGGAAGTACCACTGAAAACTTCCCATTTCCTCTTCAGTCACTGCCAGGCACATCATACCACAAAGGGTAAAACTTTTCTTGGCTTACAATAGTATAAATTAGTTTTGTTCATTTTCATATTTTGTATAAATGGAATCTTATAATGCATACTTGGGTCTAGCTTTGTTCAGTCTACACTGTATATTTAGTTGTAGCTTGTTTTCATTACAGAATAATATTTTGTTGTGTAAATGTACCATAATTTATTTCTTTATTCTACTGTTGATGAATTTGGATAGTTTCCTTAGCAGTTTTTAAAGCAGTAGTAAAAAAAGTTTGTAGGAAGAGGGTTCATACTTCTGTTTATGATAATAGTGAGTTTATACAGGAAACTTCTGCAAAAAAATGAGTGAACATCTGAAAAATTACAAAAAATGATTCAACATGGTCAGTGAATCAACACAAAAAAGGCTTGTTAATTCAATCCATGTAGGACTACATTTTTTGACAGTGACCTCCAGAATCAAAAAGAATTGCATTTGGAACTTTAAAAAGACACAGGTAATATATTTACAGAATTTCCAGAAGTTTACTAAGGCATGTGAATTTTAATTTAACAGTAAGGCTATCTCTGTAGATCTTTGAGAAGAACAGATTATTATTAAAGACTTCTGTACCCTACTGATATATCATGTATTTTAGGCTAATACATAAAGTAAGGAATTTAAAACTTTTAACAATTACTTATCCTTCCTGGTAAATATCTTCAGTGTGCTTTCAGATACAGACTGATCAAAGCAAATGAGACCATTAAAAGTTGCTGATACATACAAAGTCCTTTTGGATATAAGCAATAGCAAGCATCCATGACTAAGCAAAACAGGAATATATAAGAAAAATTAGAGAAAAATCACAGGTACAAAAGACAAGAATGACTCTGGGACAGTTGGCAGCCTAAATAAGTAGTTCTACATACAGACAAGGCATTATTTACACAGCTGAATATCACAGCCTGTTTCTCAAGAAAAATGTCAGGAGTGTTAAATAATTTCCTTGAATTTATAATCTGGGGAATGTCTGTGAAAACTGAGTAGAAAATACATGAATCACATAGGTTAAAAATTAAACCTCCAGGCCTGGAGGAGTGGTTCAAGTGGTAGAGCACCTGCCTAGCAAACACAAGGCCCTGAGTTCAAACCCCAGTACCACCAAAAAAAAAAAAAAAGAAAAAAATTGAACTGCCACACTAGGTGTGATAGTGCGTCCCAGCACTCAGAAGTTTGAGCCAAGAGGCCATCTGCATAGGGAA